AAAAAAAAAATATTTGATTATTTATTATTTGATCTTATAACTTACATTGAACAGTTTCTGGTAAACTATCAAGAAATAGAAGTGTCATAATGCCGAGTGGTATAATTGGCAATCCTTCTAACAAAAATATCCATTGCCAATCATTCAAACCATCCAAACCGTCCATCTTAGAAATACCATAAGCCTAAAATGAGTGTAATTTACACATATCTCTTTTACATACTGAAGTCGTACGAACCAAAATGCTACCGATACCACCAGCCAATGCAGCAGCACTGAAGAATATAGCAATTCGAAATATTTGTTCTTGTTTACGATACCAAAATGACAAATAGATGACAATACCAGGAAAAAAACCAGCTTCAGTCATACCCTTTAATAGACATCTGTTTTGTATAAAAAATGTCAATTTATCATCGATTCAACTTACCAGAAGAAAACGAACGACAATTAATTGTGTAGAATTTTTCACAAAAGTCGTACCAAGTGTTATCGCTCCCCATAAAATCATGCTGATTGACAAATATAGTGTTGGACCAGAAATACGCAACAATATCATATTTGGAATTTCAAAAATCATCTAAATAAAAAATAATATACCAACTATGTTGAAACAATTTTTTTTCTTACATAAGCTAAATAGAATATTGAAACACTCCAATCCAATTTGGATGAAGACACTTGAATATCACTAGAGATATTACTCAGTTTTACTTGACCTTGAATATAAAAATATACCGATTAAGATTAGAGTGAAAATTGTATTAAATAATGCATACCGATATTAATTCGATTGAGATAGGAAACGAATTCCAAAAGGAAAAAGAATGGCATTAAACGAGTATCAAGCCGTCTTATAATCTTTCTAATGCTACCTTTCATACACCTTTGATCAATGATACGATTGTCAGGAACGAGATTGGCCTCCAGCTGTACCACATTCATCTCCATTTCTACTTCGGCACAATGTTGATGTTTAGTCAAATGAAAAAAAAAGAATACGTTATAATGTTAATATAATAAGTATAGTTTCTATACTGACATGACTTTACATGATATTTATAGTCCAGTCTTACTGTATGTTGGAAAAAAAAATCATGCATCGATTTATTTTTAACATTTTCCTTTCAATAAATGTCACTTGACGTCATTTTTCAGTGATAAATATCAGGTCGATGATTTTAAGTAAACAAAACTAAAAATGATTTATGCATTATGAGGTAAATTAGTAGGATATTATTCTCTTTTCAAGCATGACTATAGTAATTCAAAAAAAAAGAAAATATGATACCTTTAATACGTAACATATTTTTTGTGATGAAAATAGTTTATTTATAAAGGTTTCACTTATTTGAGTCTCTCCTATTTTGATTTGTAAACATAAGAAAATGTCTCATTTAGAAAAGCAGTTTTTCTTCTTATAATTCTATTTCAGAATAGGAAATTCTACATTAGTTAAAAAGATCATAATAAATTAGAGCCATCGTAGATTTCATTTGTGTTTATTTTGAAGTGAAAATTTGTCACACGAATTTTCAATTAATCAGAAAGTTATCATTATTTTTCGTTTTTGAAATAATTGAGTAATAATTTAATATTTCAAGAATCAAAAACATAAACAAAGAAATCATTTCAGATTTTTCTATTCTTATTAAGAAAATTATTTTTGCATAAAAATTTGTTTTAACTATGTTTTTGACGACACAAAAATGATCATCTAAACATTACAAAATGTATGAAAAACCATGTAAATAATTTGATTTATACTTGATGATTGTAAATAGATTTGTTCAATAAATCATTCTTGTTAATAATCAACAAGTCTTTTATCTTTGATTCATATTTACAGGTCTGAATATAGAATGTATTAACATAAATTTTATATGTTGGAAAAAGCCTACATTCATTTACACTAGTGATTGAATGCAAGTTGGAAATTTCCTTTCACTTCAAATAAATAATAACAATCCCATTGTCTTTTCATCTGAAATTATTATATACTATTTTGTATCATCAAAAAACAACACGTGGATCAGTCTATCATACGATAGGCTATGCGTTGTGTGCTTTTCGTTATTTAAAAATGCAAAATAACTGTATCGTTCGTATAATAGAAAGAAAGGTTTTTTTTCACTTAAACATCAAAGTATATGTGCTAGTGAAAAGGAAAAAAACGACATTGGACAATATGAATCATTAACCAAATTATTACTGATACAATATGCATTTTTATATTTGTAATAAATATCGAAACTACATTTCTATAGTTTCTATTATTACATTGTCTACATTTTTGATTATACAAAAACTAATGATTGGAACTGTTTAATTAATGTAAGCGGTTACTGTTGTTGTGTCAATCTTTTACTAGTCAAATTTCATACAACCAAGCACAGTTTGTTTCATCTTTAATCTTTGATAAATTGATTCTTTTAACCCTTTCTAGCCGGCTATCAGAAAACAGGTAGCAAAAAAAGTCTTTTCGTGCATTGTTGTTGCTCCTAGACTATAGAAATATGAAAAGTTTATTTTTCAGAACCAATAAGTGCTTCGGCATCTAATTGCTTTATGTATCCATTTGGATACATCCAGCCACTAGGGGACAAAAATTTTGAAAAACTCATTTTGTTACATCTATACCTGTAGACGTAACCACAGTTTGTTCATGTTTTGCAGGCCAACGCTTAAATATTTGTAGAATGTTCTGAAATTCTTCAGTACGACGCAAAATTAGCTCAATTTTGTCAAAAAATTTCTGAACATTCAGGAACATGCTAGAGAGTTTCTGTACATTCTGTAGTGTTCAGAACTAGACTATTACGAAATGTCTAGAAAATCTCTAGAATGTTCCTGAATGTTCAGAAATTTTTTTGGACAAATTAAGCTAATCTTGCACCGTACTGGAGAATTTCAGAGCATTCGAGGAATGTTCAGATTTCCTAAAAAAGAAATTTCCGAAAATACCAAAATTTCCACAAACAGCATTTAATGATACGTGTGCTTAATAACAGAAATTTCGCAGAAATTTCAGTAATTACTATTATACCAGACAGAAATTTCCTCACAATTTCCCAAATATTCAAACAATGTCAAAGCAAATTTACCGGAAATTTCGGAAATTACCTGTACATATGGAAAGAAATTTCGGTAATTACTCATACTATACAAGGAACATTACTAGATAATTTCCGTAAATACCACCTCTCTGGAATGAAATTTACCGGTAATTACCGAAAATATAGACATATCCAGAAAAAATTATAACGAAATTTCTGAAATTCATTAGCTCTCGCAAACAAATTTCAATGGAAATTTCTCAGAAATTTCGGTAATTACTAGGAAATTTCTATAAATTCCAAAATTATATAATAATCATATAATAAGATTCATATACAATTAAAGAACCCTACCTCCAAAAAGTTGAAGAATTTATGGTAATTTCGGAAATTACCAAGAAATTTTAGTAATTACGG